AGTCTGGTTGAAAAACAAAGATACTCATGGAAAAGAATTCAATTTGCTATCACATTTCCTGCTGGCTTTGATGGGGCTACAGAATACTATTGATTTCTTTCACAGCAAAGCACCAATGGAAGTCATTTTCTATAAGTTCTTTGCAAAACCCTCCTACTATAGACAAAAATCATAGAATCGTGAACCTTTGTAACCTTAAGGTCTATTGGTTTAAATAATACAGGGCATCCATGACAAGAAGTATTTTACTTTACGCTGCATTTTGAGGGACCAAAGCTGAAACAAAACTGTCAAGACCTACCTAGCTTACCACGCACTCCCCCCAAAAAAAAACATCCAAAGCAGACTGCTACCAATTTAATCCCAAAGAATCTTCTGTAATGTTCATCTAACACTGACACTTTTCTCATTTGCATGCCTGCTGGCTGGGAGGAACCTGCAGAGAAAATTGTGCTCAGCCTGGTAAGTGGAGACTGAGAAGGAAACCAATGAGATGTGTGGAGAGAGAGCCTGAAGGACTCCTAATAAAGGCAGCTGGAATGTAAAGGAAAAAATGTGGATTTTAACTCAGAATAAAAATGTGGATTTTAACTCAGAATATCTAGAGAATTTCTCACTCACTAGTGATACTTTCCATGTGTAGAAATAAGGAGATGTCTCTTCTCTCCCAGATGATGGCAAAGATCAAGTGAGAGGACTGATATGAAGGCACCAGGCATGGAGCTTGGAACATAATAAATAGTCAATTCTTTCTCCACCTGTCTGTGTCTGCTAAATAGGAAGTTGCTGGTGTCTCTGGTAGAGAAAGAATTCAGAAGAGGAATACACAAGGTTTTGGTGAGAAGGACATACTGTGATGGCCTGGAGTTGCCACAGTCCTATCTGTGTTCTAGAATTCTTCCCACATATCAAATACCTACAGACATCTCTCCTAGGAAGCTGGCATCTCCAGATTGACAGACGTCCTTGCCACAGTGTGTGTGTAACACCACCTGTGTTTGTATAGTAGAAATATTACTTCAGAGGAAAGGTAATTTATATCTCATAATCCGTACCCAGTCCATCTATAAATTCTCTAATTCTTTTGCAAAATATGTCCCAAATCTGCCATATTCTTCTATCTCTGTTCCTTATTGCTTACCTGGACTTCAAGCAAGTATTCTTCCTGAGTCCTCTCTTGCCCTCTTTAGTCTGTGCTCTAGAGAGTAGACAAATGATCTGCTGACACAGGGGTTAGACCATAGAACTGCCCTTCTCCCTTGCTTTGGTATCTCCTCTTTATCCTTCAGCTCTTTTCTCAGCTCTCTTCCCAAAGAGATTTTCCCAGATCATACAAAGAGGGATTTGGCAACATGGTCAAACAAAGTCTCTCTGAAAAGATGAGATTTAAGTTGAGGTCTGGGTGATAGAAATATCACTATGTAAACCTCAGAGGAAAGGGCAGCAGAGATAGTGGAGACAGCCAATACAAAGACCTTAGGCTAAATAATTAAAGTTCCTCGGGAGCAACAATGGTGGCCACAATAGAAAGAAAATAAATAAAAGCAAAAAGAAAAGACTGCCATGTAGTATCCAGATGAAAGACACTGATGTTTTGCATTAGAGATACAGCAAAAAAGAAGGGAAGACAGATGTCCACGTGGACTTTAGAAGTACAGTCCACTGATCTTGCTGATAGGAGGCAGGGAGGAAAAGGAAGGCTATTACTTAGTTTCCTCTCCTGGACCATGAGCTTTACAAAAAGAGGAACCATACAATCTTTCTTACCTGGCACATCATGCAAACTCAATAATCATGTTTGAATGAATGAATGTATGAACAAACAGAACTAGAGGAGAAGAGGCAGAGACATGTCAGGGCAGGGTTCACAGAGGTGGGGATGCCTGTACATGGTTCAGAAAGGTGAGTTGAAGCTTGTCAGGTAAGCAAGACAGGGAAGAATCTCACAGAATGAAAGAATGGCATTGCAGAGGAGGCAGAAAACATACAACACAAGCAGAATGATGTCATTGAAATCCTTGATCTGTCCAAGGTAAATTGTCAGCTCTGTAAGTGGACTATGCTCCAGAGAAGCCAGAATAGAAAATGCACTTCTCTCTTTGTTATACCTTGATACAAAGACAAATAATGAAAGCTCCAAAGAAGGAGAAAAAAATCCTGATCCAGAAATTCAAGTCCAAAGATTCCTGCAGAAGGCAGAAAGCTGTCAGGTATAGCCCTTGAGGAAGTTTTAGGATCCCATTGAAGTCTAATATCACCTCCCCGACATGCAAGACTTCTCTTGATTTTTTGATGCATGATTCTGTGCTGTCTTTGGGGAAGAAGCATTTGATCTAAAAGACACATTAAAGAAAACAGCCTGTGCATCCTGTGGGAAAAACCCAGAGAGGATCTGAAGCAAAGCCAAGGACAAAGGACTCCCCCAGTGCAGACCAGTATGTTCATTTAAATCATCCCACACCAAGCTCAGCCATTTGAGGACATGAATGTACACCACCCTGGGTGTCTCTTAGAAACAAGCACTTAATAGGATATAAATTAAAGTCATATGGATCAAAGATATAGAAAGAGGAAAAGGCAGTGACAGAGGGAAAGACAGAGGAGGGGAGAAAGAGTCAGATATCTAGAAAGGAAGGAAATGTGAGAGGGGGTGAGAAAGAGACAGAGAAAGCTAGCCAAACATGAGTTATGGAAAAATGTATGTGCGATGCTATTTGTCAAAGAGAAAGAAGGTAGAAATGTTTTTGCCGTTTGTAGGTTAATATGTAAATGACATTCTGATTTATTAGCGGTCTCCAGCAGATGAGGTGATGATTAGCACATTTCCATATTTATAGAAAAGCAACACTAACTTTCCCGATTTATAGAAAATCAGCCCTTCACAAATAGCAAATTGTGCTATTATCGACATATGGGTTCCTATAAACAGAACTGAGGTAATTATCCCTGGGACAATTTGTTGGTGGGCTTCTTTTGAATATTAACCACTTTGGAAGCCCATTTCTGCCCTACATATTTTAAAGAGGAGGGGCAACCATGTACTCCAGGCAATTAATTAGTAATCCAACACTAAAGACAGGAACCCACATGAAAAACAATACCCAAACCACTGTGACAGGGAAAACCACCAGTCCAGGGCTTGGAGGTCAGGTTCCTGCAGAGCTATGCAAAGTAATTCACATCCTTGATGAGAATCAGTGTTGGGAGTGGGGGGGCTAAAATTGGGATAACAACAACCTCCAAATATTGTCATAAAATGAAATGAAAATATATGTATTACACCTGGAGTCTAGTAAATGCTCAACAAATGTTAATACTTTTTCCTTCCACTCATTTTTCAATAATTTTTAAAGACCTGCTTGAACAGTTATTCAAACTCTTTTTTTACAATGATCTATTTATACAAAATAAACACATGTATACCTGCATACATGCATCCATGTCTTTATTTAACTGGAAAAAGTTTGCTAAAGCAATAATTTACCTTCAGTGACTATAATCCCCTATGTTATTCATATTCTATCCTTTGTTGTCAGTGTTATTCAAAATTTTACTTGTGATCCATACATTGATTTTGAGACCTACTATTGGATTGCAACCCACAGCTTGAAAAATACTGTGCTGCAAGTAGGAACCACCATTGAATCCCCAGCACAAACATATGAGATGTTTAATTAAAGCATCTTGAATTATTTTAAAAGAAAACATAGGTAGACTTATGAATGAATTAATGAACGACTCTAATGAGAAACCAGAATCAATGTTCCCTGTCTTGTTTGCACAGTCACTATGTTTTAGATAGGCCCTGTGCTTAGCAGTAAAGAGAAAGTGTTGGATTCACAATAGCCAAGTTATGGAAACAGCCAAGATGCCCCACCACTGACGAATGGATTAAGAAAATGTGGTATTTATACACAATGGAATTTTATGCAGCCATGAAGAAGAACGAAATGTTATCATTTGCCGGTAAATGGATGGAATTGAAGAACATCATTCTGAGTGAGGTTAGCCTGGCCCAAAAAACCAAAAATCATATGTTCTCCCTCATGTGTGGACATTAGATCAAGGGCAAACACAACAAGGGGATTGGACTTTGAGCACATGATAAAAGTGAGAGCACACAAGGGAGGGGTGAGGATAGGTAAGACACCTAAAAAATTAGCTAGCATTTGTTGCCCTTAACGCAGAGAAACTAAAGCAGATACCTTAAAAGCAACTGAGGCCAATAGGAAAAGGGGAACAGGTACTAGAGAAAAGGTTAGATCAAAAAGAATTAACCTAGAAGGTAACACCCACGCACAGGAAATCAATGTGAGTCAATGCCCTGTATAGCTATCCTTATCTCAACCAGCAAAAACCCTTGTTCCTTCCTATTATTGCTTATACTCTCTCTTCAACAAAATTAGAGATAAGGGCAAAATAGTTTCTGCTGGGTATTGAGGGGGTGGGGGGAAGAGGGAGGGAGTGGAGTGTGTGGTAAGGGAGGGGTGGGGGCAGGGGGGAGAAATGACCCAAGCCTTGTATGCACATATGAATAGTAAAACAATAAAAAAAAAAGGGAAAGTGTTGGGCATGCTATTTGCTTTCAAAGATCTTGCTGTCTAGATGAGGAAGAAATATTAAGTGTTTGGGGAAAAAAACTTTTAAAGACTAAGCAGTGTGGAATTCACATTAACATGTTGAAGGGGAGTTCAAATCCTAGTGATGCCAACAAACAAAATCTCCCCCACTTTATTACTTTTAAAGAGACACCTGTGAGGTAATAGAAAGCACACAGTTTAGGGAGCCTAGCCCAGTTTGGCCCTGTCTGTGATGCTTGTTAGCAAGTCATTTTAATAGATCTCACCTCACTGGAAATTAGCCATTTATACTATTTGATAGAGTTGTCATGCAAACTAAAATGAGATCAACCAGGGACTCAGAATCTGCTTAGATAAATGTAAACCATGCCTCGGTGTAAGTGTTGACCACTGTGTGCGTGTAGCTTCTGCTCTACTTACCAAGTGATTCCATTTTTTCTTTGTCAATCACCAGGATGTATTCATAAGTGCCACCCATAGATCCAGAGGTGATGTAATGAGTGCCATAGTCATTGATAAACTTGGCGTACATGCCATAATTGTACTGATCTGGAAGCTCCATTAATGACTGCAACATTCCTTCATCCAGCACAATATTGTGCCTTCTCATCTTAAAATGGGCAGTCTGCACCTTTGTGAAAATTCTCATGAAGCCATATCTCTGCAACAACAACCGCCATTGATTGGGGCAAAAGAACAAAGGAAACATACATTTACCACATGAGATAGTGCAAAAGGTCAGCATTTTGTAGCTAAGGAAAATATATTGATATAAAGATGTGTAATAAAACAGATTTCACACACATGGATTGGACACCAGACATCTCCAAATGTATACCAGACATCTCCAATGTGTTTGTCTTCTGTTTATGTCTGTTGCCCTCCCTGGGTCAAGTTCACATCAACGCCCACCTGGATGTTCCTACAGTGGTCTCTTCAGGTTGCTGCCCCCTTCTGTTCTGTCCACAGCCCATCATCACCTCCACACTTTCCCTAGTTTTTTCAAAGAACTGCACAGTCTTGTGCGCATATACTATGCATACATATGTCCATGTTTAGGATGTTTTCTGATGACATTGTGAAGTGTCATTTAATTTAATGTAATGAGCAAATATCAGTTGTGCCTGTGGTTGCGTGCATGGGCTAGGTGCTGAGGAAATGATATTAAATGAAATAGACTCTTGCCTCCATGGAGCTTCCATTCCAGTGGTAATCTTGTTCAACTAAATAACAAAGAAAAGCAGCATACTTAATAAGAGATAGCACCAGGATAATGTTGAACAGGTTTTTAGAACAGGATGGTCATCTATGGTCCTTTCTTCCAGGTAATAAAATCCTTGATTCAAAGTGATAAGGTAAGTTTGAAGAGGCTGCCCGCTTTTAGAAAAGTCTATATTATCATGCTATAGCCAGAATTCAGAGCAATACTTATCCTTCAGATCAGTATCTAATCTGTGCACAACTCTAGAACTTAATTTATATTTGTTGAGTAAGTTAGTTTTTATGATTGTATTTTCATCATTAAAGTTAACTTTTTGAAGCCCAACTAGACCCTCAGTCCTGGTATCTGAGGCTTTTGGATGAATTTCTAATCAATTCAGTAACTATTTCTCTGCCCCATGATAACCTCTCCATCTTCATTACTACTGTGCCTTTGCATCCTGGGCTTCTGCCAGCTGAGCCCTTTCAGTCCCACTTGTGTGAGGCATTCTCTTAGCTCCAAGCCTTTGCATGCTGATTCCATGCCTAAAACATCGCTGTGGTATGCATGTTGACTGTGACCATGTGTTAAAGGCTTGGTCCCTGGAGTGGCACTGGGGTTAGGCTTGAGGAAGATGGGTCAAGTTGGTCATTAGGTCTTTGGGGGATGTACCCTTGAAGGAGACTGGGACCCTGGTCCCTTCCTTTTTTCCTTTTTTGCTTCCTGATCCATGATCTGAGCAGATTGCTCCACTACACATTCCTGATCCAGCAGTCCCACCAGAGGCTCAATGCCATTGACATGCCCCTTCTTGGACTGGAACCTCTAGAATGACAAGCTAAATAAACTTTGTCTCTTCTAAGTTAATTATCTCAGACCTTTCATTACAGTGACAGAAAGCTGACTAATGTAAGTACCCTTTGTTAACTTCCATTTCCCTTTGGCTGGACAACTTCTATTCATCTTTAAAACTCAGTTCAGATGGATGTACCTTCCTCAAAGAACAATTTCTTAAGCACCCATCCCCCAGATAATAGCTACTTATTGGTAAATGTTTGATGATAAGTGAAAGATTCGTTGATCATGCTCCTTATGATCTATTTGAGAAAACAAGGCTTATTTTAGAAATCTTTCAAGTCAAATTTAGAGGGTCTGATTATTTTTTAACACATTATCATTCTATGTATTTCCTTATATGCACCAGGTAACCATGAAAAAGGATGGTGGGGGGGGGGTAAAGTGATAAGAGTTCTAGTCTTATCATCCAATTTTATTCCCTTTGTGATGATTCTGTGTGCAAAAGCTTAATAAGAAAAACAAACATGATTACCACTGATCAGACATTTCCAATTACACAAGCAAATTAAGGTTCAATTACTACTGTACTTTTTAATGCAATTAAGGTAATACGTGTTCATTGTAGATTATGGAATACTGTGAGACACACACATTTTAATACCTTCTCATTATACTTGCTTAACTTATTAAAGAATGAAGATTCTTTTGACCAGGATACACCCATACTTGCTGTAATAGAACTGCCTGCTGGACCTATGCCAATGGTTATGCCATTTGACTCAAACTTGTCATTTTTTACTTTAGAAAGAAGGTCATTTGCATTGTCATACAACTCAGAGGAGATTCCAGTATCTGCCAGGGGCTGAAAAGAAACAAGTTTATGTTAAGCTTTGTGCACACAAAGCTATTTTTCAATTTATACTTAACATTTAAATATTTGCTTTATAAAATGTCTAAAGTTTCAGATTAGTATAATTCTTTTCAAGGCTAACCCATGCATCAGATTGATATTCACCAAAATACAGAAAACACAGCAATGCAAGTGTTTCATGGTACCTCTAAAATATATGCCTCGTGTGTATACACACACACACACACACAAAGAGAGAGAGAGAGAGAGAGAGAGAGAAAGAGAGAGATGATGATGATGATGATGATGATTCTTATAAAATGTTTTATTTTTCTTTCTAGCTGGTTTATCCTTCCTGGAGGAAGGTTGCTGCCTCTGCAATAGAGAGATACAAAAAGCCATGAGCAGGCAGGGACTAGGAAAAAAAAAGAGACAAAGAAAGCCATGAGGATTATGACAATTCTGGCAATGGTATATTTTATTGCTACCCATGAAGGTTTGGTTATTTCATTCCAGTTGCAAAATAGGGTTTCATTTCTCAGCTGACTTGAATCAAGGATGGTCTTGTGCCTTGTTTGAGCCACAGAAGTAAACCTTCAGAGCATGTGACTCATTTACTCTGCAACTCTGAGAGCATGTGCAGAAATGGAGCATCCATCAGGGTGAGTCCCTGAGGGTCTGTGATGCTCAGAATTCCCTTTCCGTTGAGGGTGAACAGGTAGTAGCATGAACAGTGCTATTTATAGTCATCAAGACTTGAGAATCCTTGCGCCAACAAATAGCCTAGTCCCTCTTGCCTGACACACAGATTCCAGGTCTTCCTCAAGATTAGAGAAATGGCAGTGTTTTTGTCTTCTGACTTGGCTCACCATATGCAATAGAGGTGGGTATGGGGCTGGAGAAACAAACTTCCTACAAACAGATCCCATAAGCTTGACATTCATTATCTTGTCACTATTTTTCTCTTGACAAACTTGGGGGAAGAAAGGTCATGCCTAGATAGTTGTTAGGAATTCTGGTGTCCTACTGTGTGTCTTTATAGATATAATGTGCATATTATATACAATCTATGCAATGTACATGATTATATAGACAGATAGGTAGATAGATAGAGATGTAGATATACAGTGATATCTCCACTATTCTAAATGATCATTAACCTTAGTTTAGACAGATCTGGGTTTGAGTCTTGACTCTGACAACTACTGCAGTACAGCTTTGGGCTTGATACTTTATTCCTTTACATCTCTTTTTATGACTAAAATGGGACAAGGATAATATCTGTTCCATTTCGTTGTCATGAGGATGCAATAAGAGAATTTATGCAGAAGTAGGATATCTAATTCATTGTAAGCATTCAGTGATGTTTGCCATATGGATGTCCCATTGGGTGCGAGTAGGGAAATGAATGACCATGAGCAAACTTTGGAACTGATTATGAGCTATGTGGTGCTCTGTCTGACCAGGAGACTGCAGGATTTTAGAGATGTTGACTCTTACATCAGTAATTTGCAAGCACTGGTGAACAGAGGAACCTTTTTTTCTAAACAAAATCATATACAAAAAAAGGCATGAGGGCTGGCGGAGTGGCTCAAGCAGTAAGAGTGCCTGTCTAGCAAGATGAGGCCTTGATTTCAAACCCAGCATTGCCATAAACAGACAAAAAAAGACATGAAAATGATCACTGTGAACTGCTCTTGGTGAAGCAGGGGCATAGGTCTAGAGTCCTGTCCATCTGCACCCAATTTATGGATTAGAAGAGTGTCCCAGGGAGTGGCAGTGGGTTAGTTGCTCATGGGCTCAGGTAGTTAGTCTAACAGAACCTTGACTTAGAATAGGTCTTCTGACTGGTGTCCCAGATCAGAATGAAATGGAGCGAAGATTGAGCAGGTGGGTGACTGTATTCATGTTATCCCTCTCTCTGGTCCCACCCTCCCCTCTCAGCACTTTCAACACTGGGCATGTGTTGGCGGCAGGTGTGAAGGGAACTTCAGTCACCAGCAAAGCCTCTCAGCAAGGCATCTTCACTGACAGGAATCTCCTTCCATGCCTCACCCCACAGTAGCCTAAAAGTATTGCTGTTCAGACTTACTTCAAAATGGTACTTCAGGAAGTTGTAGGGTTTCCGAAAGTACTTTTCATCATCTCCATAGTACAGACGTTCACAGGCAGGATCATATCGGAGCTCCCTCCATTCCCCATTGTATATGGTTTCACACTGGCCCCCATAATACCTGGCATCATACACACTCTGAGTTTCTGTCTGGGTTAGGATATTGTACCTGAGTGGAAAAGGCAGCTTCTGTGACAGAGCCTTGGAAAGTCAAAGATCATACAACATGTCATCCTCTGGAACATGATATAGCTGGTAGGTTGAGTGAGAGCTTGCAAGCTGTGCACTGCGGAGTCCTGGGGTTCTACCAAGTACCTTAAGGCTATACTGGGAGATTAGGCAACACTGAAAGCCTGAGAGGGCCAGATTCCCTTTAACCAGAGCAGCTACACAGTTCTGCTCCACATCTGGACCAGTGCCCTTATATAGGAGGCACCCCTAAATGTTGAGTAAGTTAGAGGGGAATATACATGATTGTTAGAGTCCAAGCACAGGGGTCAGTATCCCAGCTCTGCCACCTCCAGCTGTGTGACTACAGGATAATCATTTAATCTCTCTGTGCTTCAGTTCAGTCATTTGTAAAAAGCAATTAATGATACCACCACCTTAACAGAGTTAAATATGAGATATAACACATAAAATAATCAACCATGCTTAGCATACATTAAGTACTGAATAGATGTTCTATTGTTATTGTCTGTGTTATTTCAGAAAAGGCTCTGCTACTAAAGTGACTTTGAAATATCAGGTGTAAGGCACAGTACTAGGGCTGAGACCTTAATCTCAGAAAGGCCATTCATTGCCTTTGAGGCAGCCAGGGATGTCAGGTGGTTCACAGGGACACTCTTGTAGCTCCCAACTCTGTCACTTCCTGTGAGTGATTGTGACATTGTGTTAGAATGTGACAAAAGTGTTAGAATAAGCTAAGCATTCTAAGACAGGACAATCAAAGCCTTTTATGTTACAAATAAAAGATTATTGCTTGTGTCTATCTCCCAAACTCCTATTTATCCTTTAAGACCCTACCCAAATGTTACCTCCTCTGCATAACCTTCCTTGAATGCTCTGAACACAGCTGTTCCCTCTCTGTGTTCCCATGGTATTCAATACTTATCTCTGGCATAGCATCTGCCATGATTGTCTATGTCCTCTTGACAAGGCACAATGGTAGAAAAGGAGAAAGGGGTAAACTGTGAATGCAACCTACCCCAAAGAATGAATGGATAATTACAGAGCACCTGACATAGAATTGAAAGTCAATGTATGTTAACTTCCTTTTTCTCTTCCTTTCTCTGTCTCTTTTCTTCTTATTAGTAGAAGTGATGTAATAATAGCTATGATGAATTGAATACATAATATACTAGACACTTAGCATATATTAACTTTCAACCTTCTGACAATTTTTCAAATGCAGAAGTTGAAACTCAAAACTTGCCTATAGTCACAGCTAGATTTCTTCCCAAGATACTTTTGACAGAAAATCTAACTTTTTACCTTTATTCCACCCTGCGGTGTCTGTCTCCCTACCCATATCAAACATATTGCTGCTTATAGCTTATAAATACAGCCTCTGTAACAGACTAACACAAACACAAGGCAACAGTGAGCCTGGATTGGAGTGTAATCACTAAACATTAGTAAAACCGAGGAGAATTTGAAGAAGTTGGTTGAAAAGCCCCAGTGAAAGCGAAAAAGCAATCAGAGAAGTTCTACCTTTTAAAAAGCTGATATATAAAAGTCATCATACCTGTGCAAAAATATATGTATAAGGATGTTCATTGAAGCATTGTTTATAAAAGGAAAAGTGGGAAGAATCTAATTATTTTAATAGTCAAATTATTTGATAGTTGTACCATAGAAGAGGTCAGCAAACTTTTTTTTTAATAAAGGGACAGATAATAAATATGTTAAACTTTGCAGGCCATAGATCTCCATTGCAGGTACTAAATTCTGCTATTGTAGAGTGAAAGCTGTGTTCTAATAAAACTTTATTTACAAAAACAGCAGGCTGAATTTTCCCTTCAGACCATAGTTTGTTGGTGCCTGTTATGGAATGCTATATTATATAGAATGTAATAGACTGCTAAGGAAATATGATCACATTTATGTAAAATTTACCAGCATCTGTAATGCACAGGGCATACAGGTTTGTTTTCCAAACAATATATGTTGTCAATACACTTTTAAACCTAATCAGGAAGTACCTGCTGCTAACAGGGTTCAGCTTTAGGGAGGGAAGGGATAGAGGGTCATTGGGTGAGGCACGGGTAGGGGAGGGACCATGAAGACTCAGTTTTTACCTCAAGCATATTACTACTTTTTGAATAATAAATTAAAATTCGAAACTGAGCCATACTTAAATTAGGGGGAAAAATAAGGTATTAAGAATGGTCATTAGATCTTGATATGTAAAAAATTAACAAAATGTCAACTGCTGGGAGTGGAGGTGGGGCTACACCACTGCTTTTGGAATTCAGTGTGAGACAAACACATGCTATCAGGAAGTGAATTGGAAGGGCTCCTACTTGAGTCACACAGGAGCAGGATCACGTTCTATGATCTTTTTGTCAATAAGGAAGGGATTATTTTTTAGCTCAACACCTCAATATTTCATGCTTCTACTCTGTTCATTGCATAATAACTTTTAAAATCAACAAGAATCCTCTTCAATTGCATTATGAGCTGAATTTGTCTCCCCAGTATTCATGGGTTGAAGTTCTACTGCCAAAAATGTGACTGTTCTTGGAGACAGTCATTAAAGAGGTAATTAGGTTAAACTGAGGTCATTAGGGTGGGCCTTCATCCAGTGTGAGTGGTGTCTGTACAAGAAGAAAGAATTAGGATACCAACATGTACAGAAGGAAGACCATGTGGAGACACAGGAAGCAGTGGCCAGGAGAGAGGCCACAGAAGAAAGCCATCCTGTTGACACCTTGTTCTCAGACTTGCAGCCTCTAGAACTGTGATAAAATGCATTTCTGTTGTTTAAGTCACAGAGTTCCAAGTATTTTGTTATGACAATCCTAGCGAACGAATAGAATTGGTCTAAAAGAAAACATTGTTTATGTCTACATGCACTTACAGGATTCAATCCCTTCTGGTGGGTGAGATGTGATCTCAGAGCAATTAAACCCAAATGAACGAGAGCTGCCTGTCACAGAACTCACATCTACCCCTGAGAGGGCTACAATATGGCTGGGTCACATGTGACAATAACTTTATCCCCCATTTCCTTATCTGTAAAGACCCAGTTGGTCCTATTTGATGTTTGTCAAAGCAGCCAATAGTATTGCATGCTCAATTTTACAGGACAAGGTCTTCTTGTCAAGGCCAAGGAGATGAAACAGATGAGTCATAAGTGATCTCTGCCCTGAAAAAGTTTATATTAAGTTAAAGGACAAGGCCCAAGGCAAAGACAGAGTGGTACTATGAACAAAGCCCTCTGCTGGGACCTGGAGAAGCAGAGATGATAAAGAACTCTGAGGCTGAGCAAAAAGATGCCCCATTGGTCATCCCAAGCCCTGTTGGGTACATGCTGGGAGAGTAGGATATGCAGGAGTCTCTGGGATCAGTAGGAAGGGAGTAAGTCAGCCTAGGCAGGGTCAAGAGCAGGCGAGTTGGGGTGGGAGGGAGGAAACATTAAGATTTGCTAGAAGAGATACCTAGGGGTACTAATATGTTCAGGCCATCTTAACAAAATATCACATATCAGTGTCTTAAATAGGAGAAATTTATTTTTACATCCCTAGAAACTGGAAGTGCAAAATCAAGATGCCCTCACGGTTGTCTATATGCATGAGGGAAGAGAGATCTCTGGTGTCTCTTCCTCTTTGTGTATGGACACCAGTCCTATCGAGTTAGGGTCCCACCTGTATGATGTCATTTAACCTAAATTACCTCTCTAAGATCCCCATCTGCGAGTACCATCACTTTAGGGGCTTTGACATAAGATTGTATTCAATGTGCACTGGGTAAGGAGTCAGCCGTCTTAGGAACAAGGGGAAGGATATTCCAGAAAGAAGGAACTCAGTTTATTAAGGCTTAGAAGGAGAGAGGGTCATTCAGAGAACTGATCCTGAGCATATAAAGCGTGTGATGAAAAGAAATTAGAACAGAGGCTGATTTAATCTCCCCACAGATAAAGAAATTGAAGCCTGGGGGTGGAGGCAAGCAATGACAAATAGATGCTCAAGACCCTCTGTGCCTCTCCCCAAAGCCCTCTTTCTCTGTACTGCATCCCCCTGTTAACCTGTTCACATGCACAACTACCTTGCAAGAAGATTGCAGACAGGACTATGGGAAAGGGCAGTTGTCTCAGGAAAAGCTCTTTTGGTGACATTAGGGATGGCTTCATGGAAGGTATGACTTCTTAAACAGGCCTTGAAAATGGAATTGGGGTGAGAGGAGAGAGGTAGTAGGCTGGGGAGGGGTGAGAGGAGAGGAAGGTTCTTATGCAGAGAAGAGGTAAAGTATGAGTAATGTCATGTGGGCAGGACCATGCAAGCCACCTTAGGACACAGTGGGGTGGGTTCCTAGGTGCACTCCAGAGGGACAGGCCATCTGTTCTCAAAGCTGCTGCTCACGGTGGAGGAGAAACCACCCACTGCCACTGCTCCTGAGTACTCACCCCAAGGCCGCCTTCTCTGACCCTGGAATTGGTTCATACTGGCTGCAGTCTTCTTCAGAGACCCTGATGTCTTCACAGTCTTCCTCATCAGAGCCATCAAGGCAGTCCCTGTCTCCATTACACACAAGGTGACGTTTCAGGCAGCGACCTAGAGAGGGAGGCAAGGCTGAGGAGGCTGCTGAGACTCCTGCTCCCCTCATGGCCCATGTCCACAGTCACCAAGCTTTTTCCACCTATAAGATGGCCTTCCCATCCCTGCATCCTGTCTGCGCTGCCTCTGCCCTCCTTCCAGCCTCCTTAGCTCCCTCTGCAGTCCCTAGCACAGGCCTGCTCATGTCTTCCAGCCTCCACATTGGAGCCTAACCCCCCCACCACAGTTCTTATAAAATGGCATTCTGGCCATTGCTCCATATCTGCTAGCAGGTCCCCACACCCCTTCTTCCAAATGCCACAGTCTGGTCCCCAGTTATCACCTGAGCATAGGTTCCCCAAAGCAGCCCATCACCGGTCTCTCTTTCCAAAGTCTTGAAGCTGCAAAAATTCTGGAATGATCTGAATCCCTGTGGTTTTGCATGGCACTTCTCCTAGAAACTCTTATTTTCCAAGTCTCAGCTCAAGTACCATTTTCAATCAGCCAGCCTTGACTCCCCAATATGGATTTGGGAATCTCTTGCTGGAGAGTCCCACACAGTTGTGTACATATGCTCATTACAGTGGTTATCACATGATATTGTAATTGACCCTTTGTAGGTCTCTCTCCCAAACAGACTAGAGTATCATAAGGTCAGGTACATTAATTTTTATCTTTATATTAACAGCAGGTGGCACAAGGCCTGGCACACAATATGTGCCCAAAAGATGAATGAATGGATTGTACTTTTTCTAACTATACCAACAAAGGATCCTACAACCTTGAGTCAAAATAACATGGGCTGCTGCTTGGCCTAAAATGCAGATTCCTGGGCCCCATTCCAAACCTTCAGAATAGTGACATCTGAGGGAAGGGACTAGGAGTCTGCATTTTAGCAAGCTCCTGGGGTACATGCTTTGTATGTTTTGTTTGACCGGCACAGCTGTTAGCTCTCTGGAGTGCTACTCACGTGTCTCCTTACACTGGAAATCCTGTCCACACTGTGCTTTTCTTTGACAAGGAGTGGAGCTGGAACAGCTGGCCTGATCCCAGACATCACCACTGCAGATGTTTCCCCCAAACTTGCTAGGCTGCAACAGGCTCCGGTGCCGGTACTAAATCGGATTTTGAAACAGACACAGTTTTGTCAATCAATCAACCAAGATTTACGCAGACAGGTCTCAGCTCAACAAGGAACAACTGTGTCATGATTGAGAGCTGCTTACAGAGCTGTCTTCCCAAGGGACAACTGTGTATAAACAGTGGTGTTCAACCTGAGGTGGCACAGTCACCAGCTGGAATACTGCATAAGGACTCAGAGCACCAATGAAAGACTGGGACAGAGATATTTTGAGGATCTTCCTACTTGTTAGGAAGAGCTTCTGATCCCTTCTTCAACCAGTTAATAGTCTTCTTTCCAGGTTATGATGTTCCTGGAACATCATAAAAGCCTTCCGTAACTCAGTTGAATATTCCATAAGTCTGCATGCTTCTCTTTCACTTAGCACTTGTCATGTAAGGTTGTGATGGAGCATCTATAGATTTGTCTATTCCTCCCACCAGTCTGTGAGTTATTTACATATGAGGGAAGAGGAGAGGGCAGGGAAGGATGGACTGTGTCTTATGTAGCTTCATACATTTGCATCTGATGCACTGTCAGGTACAATTTTTCCTTTTCAGCATCTCTTCTGGTCATGACATCCTCTATTTCCTTAGGATACATTTTAGATGGTTCAGATGGGAGTGATCTCTCTTCTCAGTCACAGGGATGCGTGGATTTGAGCCAGGTCCTGCTGACTGGAGCATCCCATCTGTTTAGTTACAAGAACTCCTTTAAGGATTGGCATGACTCACCCAGGCCAATCAGCTTCTTTTTACTAGAGTTACAGAGAATTGTGGTATCAAGTGATTGCCTTGCCTGTTATATCTAAAGATCCCATGCTAGAGATGAAGGACAAAGAGAACTGTGAGGATATCATCTGAGTCCCTGTGTCCTGTCTGCAGATGAATAAATACTCATTGATGGAATTAAAATGCATACCACTCTTGGGATGATAGGGTTTCATGATAAGACTTTCTAACTGTGTGTGGTATCAGGTATTAGTGTAAAAGGAGGAAGTGGAAGCCTATGATATTCAGAGAAATACATTCCTGCTTTGCAGGTCTCATCCCTGCCTTGCAGAAGCACAGAATATAGTTAAGGAGATGAAATGTATAATAATACAAAAAAACACACTGTGTAGAGAGCTTCCAAGCAGAGTGTCTGGTCAAGGAATGTGCAGTCTCGTGTCTTCTGCTGACTCTGATTTTGGCTCAGCTCGAGGTCCTTCCTCCAAGAATGTTAGTATGTTAAGAAAGCAAAAATTTCAGGAGCAGTGAGTTCCTATCTTGAATCTACTTATTTGATTTATAAAGTAACAGTGCCTGGTCTGGGGGCCTTAGTTTCCAAATCTGTAAAATGAATTTATAAATGAAGTTGGCCTAGGAGACCTCATTAATTCATTCTTTCACCTGAATCCTAAAGTAGAAGGAGGATGGGCATGAGAATTCAGTGAACTTGGGTTCTGACCCGATTCAGTTGCCAGTCCAAGTTGCTTATCTTTCCTGGGCTTCCTAGTATGTAAGATGGGTACATGCCATTTACCTTGAAGAGACTGTGTGAAATCTAGGTAAGAGAATGTGAGATGTACCTAGCCCTGTGACTGGCTTATCAGTAAACACAGGTAGTTTCCACATTGCTAACCATATCCATGAAATCTTTGCCAGATGATTTAGCTGAGTGAGTCGTAGAGAAGTGCAACTCATCTCTCCTCTTTTCCTGAATTATCCACTTTCTGTTGCTAATAGCATAACACCACAGATGTTGAAAGTTATAAAGAAATGAGATTTAAGTTTGTCCAAGCTCTGGAGGTACAAGGTCTAGGGATACATCTGGTGAGGGCCATTTTGTTGTCAGACTAAGTGAAGTGACACAGGGAGTTGCATGGTAAGAAACACATAGGTAGTATCTGGCTACTCCTTCTCCTTGTTCTTATAAAGGCAACAGAATTCAATCATGGGGCTCCACACAAATGACCCAATCTAATCCTGATTACCTCCAAGTTCTCCAACTCTAAACACCATAGTTGGATTAAGTTTCCACCTACTTAATACCTCATAATATGAATCAGATCTCAACAGATGAAGAAATTGAGGGGGCCACTAAAACCTTAGCATGCCTACCTGTGCCCACCAAACTTCACTGGCAAAGAGGCAGGGGTAGCAATGAGAGGTAAGAGGTCAAACCCTTTCCTGCCTTTCAGTTAATACCACCAGTAAGAGGTTTGTAGACTGTGTAGGAAGAGACTGTACTTAATGATCAATTCTAGAATATTAAGATATTTCCATTTCTATCCACATTTTTCCCCTCAGTGTACAAATAGAGGGATGGTCAGCATTCATACCTCCAGCCAGTTCTCTTCCTTTCTCATTAAAAAGTTCAGTGGTTATTTTTTTTACCAATGTAGTGATCAACAGGATAGCACTGGTGATGGAAGCCACAATTCATTGAGTGCTTATGATTGGTCAAACATTGCCTTTACTCTTCACAAGTTTATTAAATTAAGTGCATTTATGAACCCCATTTTAAGCTGGATTAGAATTCCAATTTAGTCACCAACTGACAGGCATCACTGGGTAAATTGCTTAATGTCTCTGATCCTCAATTTTCTCATTTGTAAAAAGGGATGAATCATAGAGTTTTGCCAGAATTAGTAATAATACAGTAAACAGAAGGGAGGGAGAGGGGGAGGGAGGAAGGGAGTGAGGGAGTGAGAGAGCGTAGGGATGGAGGGAAAGAAGGAAAGAAGGAAGGAAGGAAGGAAGACAAATCAGGGCCAGGTAATGGTGGAACACACTTTAATCCCAGCTTCTCAGGAGGCAGACATAGGAATATTGCAAGTTCCAGGCTAGCCCAAGCAGAGGTAGTGATTTTTTTCAGATTTTTTTTCATTAAGCCCCTTACCTAAAATTAAGTCTTTATATATTTATCTCATATATATTTATATATATGAGAAACAAACTAAAAGTAAAAGGGCTAGCAGCATAGCTCAAGTTGTAGAGTGCTTGGGTAACAACCACAAGGCCCTTAGTTCAGTCCATCAATCCTGTACCAGCTATTGGGCCACTCCAGAAGAGACTGAATTAGGTGACAGCTACTGTCACTTATTACTCTGTAGCAGAGTGGAGCGCTCAGCTCTCAGGGTTTTTCGAGTCAGACTGACCACAGTTTAAACCTAGGTTCTGCCCTTCTCTTAATGTGTGGCCTCCACAGAGTGGGGGATGGCGCCTATCCTTTCCAGTTGTCTGTGAAAGTCAAACTAAGCAATGTATTTATTTAAAGCACTAGAGCAATGTCTGGTAATAGAGTATTTGATAAATGGTGACTATTAATACCATTATCATCCTTGCTATAGTTCCTATACTTGGAATGATGCTGTAAGCCTTCAGGTTCACTTCCATCCATTCCCTATTTCCTAAGTTGCTATCAAATAATGAAGATACTGTGTTTGCAGGAAGGTTGGTGCCAATACTCCCTTAGGGATGTCTCCGTGCCACTGCCCATGGTTGGTGTCATTAAGACATAATTTTCTTTTCTAGCTAGTAGATAATGTTTCTTTCCAGAAATGCACATCTTTGTTTGGGTGATTTTGAGACGAAGAAACTCATTAATAAAAAGAAACTAAGGTGGTCTTTTACTTAAATAATTAACAGAATTTAATTACTTCCAGGATTATTTTAAAGATACCTGTGTCTTTTTGAGTCACTAAGAAGGCGATTCCACTCTGATGTAAACTGTAAGGAATTTCCCTGTGCTGTCTGCCATCCAATCTGAAACACATGAGACCCTATTGCTGAACAGGTTGATTAATGGCCACACAGACATCAAGTTCCCATCTGTAGAACATGTAAATTTGCCCTTATTTGCAGACAGGGTTAAGGTTTTTGAGATGTGATTACTTGGGTTATCGGGTGGCCATAAATACCATCCTAGAGTTCTTACAAGAGGAAGGTAAAGGGAGATTGCAAGCAGACACAGAGGAGAAGACCCATGGAAGAAGAGGCAATGTGGCCAGGGAGGCAGAGAGGACAGTGATGTGATCACAAATAAAGGGCTGTTGACTGCCACAAGAAGTGAGATGAGGCAAAGCTCAGATTGTCCCCTGGAGCCTCCAGAGGTCTTACCAGCCTTGCTGGCAACTGATTTCAGACTTCTGGCTGCCAGAACTGCAAGAGAATACATTTCCATTTTGTCAAGCCACCAAGTTTATGGCAATTTCTTACAGTTGACTCAGGAAACAAGTACGAGACGTCAGAGCAAAATGGCACTGTTGGGGCCAGATGCTTTAAACAGGATTGGCCTAGGATTCTTTGGCATTTTCAGAGAATGACAAAGTTCAGGCTTTGGAGTTGAACAAATTTAGGTCCAATTGCATCTCCACTACTTATTAGCTCTGTGACTCTGAACAAGTCATATGTCTAACTGAGAGGTGGGTCGAGAGGGAGGACGACCATCAGCAGATCCTGCAGGAGCTCTGTTGAGAGAATAGCAGGGCTTGAGTCAAGGCCATGGGAATGGGGCTGGAGAGACAGTAATTATAAAAAGCAGCTAGTACTTCCCAAACGCTTACTCCATCATGAAAATGCTTTGCCTGCATTACTCAGTTACTTCTCAACAATTCTATACTGCAGGTACCATTATCACTCCCAGTTACAAAGAAGGAAGTGGAGGCCCAGAGAGGATCAAATAAGTAAAATAAGAGGCAACAACAGATCTATACTGCAGAATTTAAGACTCAACACTTGAATTTGGCAGTAATGTCCCTACGCACAGAGTTCAGGCAGTGGTATTTGATGTGGGGTGGAGAGTGGATGCATCTCATAGGGATTCATCCTGTAAAGACAGCTGTTCTCTGAAGGAATTTGTAAATAATAATACAAAAGAGTAGAAGTTAAATTGCTTTTGTTTATTATAACTATGAACCAGTGATTCTGAACAAAGCTAGAATTGTAATACTCCTCCCTGCTGGAAAAAAGGGCTCCCTTCTCTTCATGTGATAATGGGTTTAGGGACCATTTTGGATCATTCAGAACATTTAGATGGGCAAGATAGACACATTTCTGTTTCTTGGGTTTGTTGAGCTTTCAATCAGGAATGCTGTGGCATTCCCTGGCTTATCTAGGACCACCATGGGTAGCTATGCATTTTGTTCCTCAGTTGCCTGTGGACAGCTTGGCATTTTGTTACTAAGCCATTATAAGTCCCTTTAGGTGACCTTCACTAGAGGGCAATGATTTGGCCAGGACCCAGAAAGGCTGTGGGGGATAAATGTGCCTGTGTCCAGATGACCACTTTTCTGCCTACGAGTCATAGCATACTCATTGTCTGCAGCCTCACCCAACTATGCCTTATGAACAGAATCAGAAAAGGTAGAAACAAGTTTCACCATCCATGTACCCAAGGCTTCTAGCTCTAGGTTCAGTTTTTCCCCAGAGCCTGAGATTTATAGTTCCAGTTGCTTATTTTCATTTGAAGTCCTAACGCACAAATTAAATAGGAAGAATTCCCCAACTGCTCATAAATAGCTTACCTTTTTGTCCTGGCATGGGAAGCAACTGGTCCACTCTGACCAGTTGCTCAGTTGGCAGGTAACTGCTGAAGGGGTTGCAGCTCGACTCACTCTCCTAAAGGAAGGAAAGTCCCCTGAATCAATTTTGAGACAGAAAACTTAATCAAAAGAGAAAAGGATGCACATTTTTCTGCTAGTAAAACATGGATTATAAAAATGAAGAAAGGATATTTATTGTGCCATTTTATGAAGAGGGTGGATTTGGTTCTGGAGGGTGTAAACTATCCCTTTAATGCCATATCAGTTCCAAATAGATGAAATCATTATCACTGACACTGATTAGCACTGAGGAGGGCTAACAATTTATGATGAGCCAAAGTAGCAGAAAGCTCAGTGATTAGAAGTGTGGATTCTGAGGTCAAAGGACTGAGTTTGAATCTTAACCACTTCCTGACTTTAAAAACTTGAGCAAATCACTTAACATCTCTTAGTGATAGCCTTCCCATCTGTAAAACTATGATTAAAAGCGTATTGCCTAATAGAGTTACTGAAAGTATGTCAAAAAGCTTATGAAGTGTTTTCTAAAATGTGACTTTGAGTACTACATGCCGAGATATTACCTGGTCTATATCATGTTAGTCTATAATAATCATGGGAGGTATATATTACTAGTCCAACTTAAAATATAAGAAATCTGAGAGTCCTAAAAGCTTAGTAACCTTGCAGTCATAGCCAGGGATGACAGCTGGTTTAATGGCCAAGCCCACTTCCTGTCCTTATCACGCAGTTGCCTCATTATACAAATCAGCCCTCAGAAGTTAGAGAGCAAGGACCTTGCCCAGGGTAATGGAAGCAGGAGGTGGGAACTGGTCTGTCTCCAAGGATGCCTTCTCCTACCCCATGCTGCCTCCTCACAAGTTACAAAGCTTGCCCAGGTCACTCAGGTCAGTGTGGACAAGTCCCAAGCTTGGGTCTCCAGGCCCTTGCTTCTTCCCATAGTGCCATTGTGGCTTCAAAGCCAGGTCATCCCACTGCACAAAGGTGGAAGGTAGTCCCTTACCCATCAGAACTGCCACAACCTCTGGGAGCTAGGCAGCCTGGGCTGCAATGGATGGCACAGTTATCTCGTTAGCATAGTAAAGAAAGTGCTTCAAATCTCATGCTGATTATGAGTGGCTATTCATGTGAATGATGACACCTGGTTGAAACCCTAGGTAAAGAGCCATGGGTAGTCAGGAAAATTATGTTTATCTTTAATGCCTTTTAGTCTCAGCACCCGTCTATATCCTAACAAATTACTGAAGACCCCAAAGAGCTTTTGAGTGGGCTAGGTCTATTGATATGCCCAGAATTTAAAATTAAAATGGAGATCAAGCCCTAGTCCCACCAAAAACAGCCAATAAAATGTAGATATATTCATTTAGTGCTAGGCATGGTGGCTTATGCCTTAATCTTACTCAGAAGTAGAGGTCAATCAGAAAGATCTCAGAGAACAGCTTAGGCAAAAAGTTCATGAGACACCCCCTCAACCAATAAAGACCAGGTGTGGTGGCATTCACCTGTCATTCCAGCGATGCTGGAAGTGTAACTAGAAGGATTGTGGTAAAGGCTGACCCAGACATAAATGCGAGACCCTATTGGAGAAATAACTAAAGCAAAAAGTGGGTGGAGGTGTGGCTCAAGTGGTAGAACACCTGTCCAGCAAGTACAAGGCCCTAAGTTCAAATTCCATACCATAAAAAAGTACTTATTTAAAATTATAATAAACCCAGTACACATACCAAAAATAATTCTATTTAAAAATATATTAAATCATTAGTGAGAAGAGTATAATTGCTCTATATTTTTCAGTGTGGTGCATAGTAGAAAACAGCTAGATTTTCTTTTTTTTGCTTTTGTTTTTGGAGGTACTGGGGCTTGAGTTCAGGGCCTTCACCTTGAGCCACTCCACCAGCCCTATTTGTGGGATAGGGTTTTTTGAGATAGGGTCTCATGAACTATTTGCCCAAACTGGCTTTGAACCACAATCCTTTGATCTTTGCCTCCTGAGTGGCTAGGATTACAGGCGTGAACAACCGGCGCCTGACTGAAAGCAGCTGGATTTTCTTTTTGTTGTTGTTTTTTTTTTTTTTTTATTCATATGTGCATACAAGGCTTGGGTCATTTCTCCCCCCTGATCCCACCCCCTCCCTTACCACCCACCCCGCCCCCTCCCTCTACCCCCTACCCCCTCAATACCCAGCAGAAACTATTTTGCCCTTATTTCTAATTTTGTTGTAGAGAGAGTATAAGCAATAATAGGAAGGAACAAGGGTTTTTGCTGGTTGAGATAAGGAGAGCTATACAGGGAGTTGACTCACATTAGTTTCCTGTGCGTGTGTGTTACCTTCTAGGTTAATTCTTTTTGATCTCACCTTTTCTCTAGTTCCTGGTCCCCTTTTCCTATTGGCCTCAAGCAGCTGGATTTTCATTCCTACTTTTCCATTTGAGCTATTGCTATTATGCTGCTGTGGTTAAAGTCTATTTAAAAAAATCTAGCCTAGGCAGTGGTATAGTTGAATAAGAGAGGACTGTTGTAAATAGTCTTTTTGAATAACTGTGGATGTTCTCCTTTGGTATTACACCAAAACTTGACAAATGGCCATTTCTTATGTGTTAGTTGCCACAAAAAATCCAAAAGCAACTCAGTGAACTTTTCTACACTCTTGTAATATTCAAATCCGTTAGTCTCTGCACACTTTGAATGGACCTTGTGTCCATATATGACTTTTTAAACATCAAACATTGCAATTTTATTTTATTTTATTTTTATTTTATTATTCATATGTGCATACAAGGCTTGGGTCATTTCTCCCCCCTGCCCGCACCCCCTCCCTTACCACCCACTCCGCCCCCTCCCTGTTCCCCCCACCCCTTCAATACCCAGCAGAAACTATTTTGCCCTTATCTCTAATTTTGTTGAAGAGTATAAGCAATAATAGGAAGGAACAAGGGTTTTGCTAGTTGAGATAAGGATAGCTATACAGGGAGTTGACTCACATTAATTTCCTGTGCGTGGGTGTTACCTTCTACGTTAATTCTTTTTGATCTCACCTTTTCTCTAGTTCCTGGTCTCCTTTTCCTATTGGCCTCAGTTGCTTTTAAGATATCTGCTTTAGTTTCTCTGCGTTAAGGGCAACAAATGCTAGCTAATTTTTTAGGTGTCTTACCCATCCTCACCTCTCCCTTGTGTGCTCTCGCTTTTATCATGTGCTCAAAGTCCAATCCCATTGTTGTGTTTGCCCTTGATCTAATGTCCACATATGAGGGAGAACATACGATTTTTGGTCTTTTGGGCCAGGCTAACCTCACTCAGAATGATGTTCTCCAATTCCATCCATTTACCAGTGGAAAACATTGCAATTTTAGAAAATAATAGTTTACAGAAAATGCAATGTCATAACTATTAACACATTCTCTTATACAATATGAAAAATCATACTTGCTAATAAAAACCATGAACTCATCAAATTCATGGTGGTGGGTATGTTTTCATTTTCACATGAAAGCTCAAATTTTGTAATTAGAAACAAATAACATTACTTGTTTTTTGGTTTTGGTTTTGTATTTAATAATAAGCTCTCTGCACTTTTGTGACCAGGTATGTTCATTCTAAGCCTGAATAAACATAGTTTATAAAATGGTGTTCTACAAAAAGGAAGTAGTCTTATGGATTAACTGTTTGTGTCTTTTCAAAATTCATGAATAGAAACCTAATCCTCAACATGATGGTATTTGGAGGTGGGATCTTGTGGAAGGTGATTAGGTCAGGAGGGTTCCTTGTAAATGGGATTAATGTTCTTATTATCAACAATTCCCAAAGAGCTCCCACACAGCTTCTGCCATGTGAGGACACAGAAAAACCCAGCCATCTGTGAATCGGGAAGTGGGCTCTGACCAGACACTGAGTCTGCCAGTGGTATGATGATGGACTTCCCAGCCTCCTAAACTGTGAAAAATAGGTGTTTGTTGTTTAAGCCACCCAGGCTATGGTAATTTGTGTAGAAGTCTGTGTCTACTTTGATTTATAGCTCCAGCAATTAGTGCATGGGGCATTCTCATGCATTCTTCTTGCTTTCTCATAGAATATTTAAATGGTAGTTACTCAAGGATTGAGGTTTTAAAAATTAACAATCCTCTCTACTTCAAGAAGGACTTCTTAAAATAAAATTTAAGTTTTTCCTTATGAAATCAGTGCCACTGCTTTGAGTTATACCAAGGCCACAATAGGTTATCCACCATTATCCAGCATCAAGGCCAGTATAAAAACAATGAAAAGGAAACTGATATCCAAGTATTAGTACAAAAATTGTTTGTAGGTACCTTGGTTTGTAAGTTCAAAACACATTTCTTCTTAATACTAGGACATTAGTTTCACTTTTCCTTGTGTTTATACTTGCACTGAGGTCTGCAGACCACACTTAGAGAACTCTGATATACAAAATGATGCTAGAATATAACCCTAGCCCTACCATTCTGTCAAAGAAAACTTTAGTGCCCAGCTCACAAACTTCCTCTCTACCTCAACTCCTGTTATCACTCATCACCCCTGTAATAAGCCATGCAACACTCAGCCCTCTCAACTGCCCCTTTTCCTTATCGCTCATTATCTTCTCTTTAATATTTTCATGCTCACATTCTGGACCTTCTGCTCTCTGCAACAGCTCTTTCTCCAAATCCTAATTCATGAGTCATCTGTGAATAGTTCCGTGAGGCTCCACAGCCTCTTCTTGTTCTATCTTATCTACTCAAGGGCTCCCACTGCACTTTTCCTTGGACCTCATTGGGACCTCCATCCTCTTGATGTCAAGGGTTTCTACCTGTCTCCGACACCTCTCTAATCTTTGTTTTTCTTTATAGATAGTTTTGATTCTAAGAAAGTCACTTTAAAATCTTACCAGGTATGTCCCCTCCATCACACCTGTGAACCCCAATCCTGAGTGAATCAAACTATCCACCTGTGCACCTCACTACCTCTCAGATATATTTCAGTCTTATCATAAACATCAATGTCTTAGGAAAAATCTTCCCGATACTCGGATCAGTTAAACATTACCTTTTATGTGATTTGGTCAGTTTTTGCAATATTCTCAACACTTAATTATCACACTTGCAATATTGGTATAACTTCTGTCTCTTCCACCAGATTCTAAGCTCTATGAATGCAGGTACTTCCTGTATACTTGCTACCACCTGTCACAGGTAGACAAATGGGAGATGCCCAGTAAATAGTTATGAAAGGAAAAAAGAAGAAAGGGAGAGAAAAGAAGAAATTGGTGTAAATAAAAACAATTTCTGGGAAATAGGCAGTGACATTTTGAGAGGTTTGTTTGCACCTGATTCCTAGTTAGAATCTAATTAAATAACTTTGGCATCTAAAATTCCAAATGGCTCAAGGTTTAGTTCATACATCATTTTTCTGACAGCAGTATAACAATAAAAGAATGGAGTGTAGAAACATGGAAAAATAGAAGGAGTCTGAAGAGAAGGAGCAGGGTGAAGGTTTGGAGGCAGCAAGGGCTCCAGCATTTCTTCTGCATCTCACTATAGAATTACCGAGATAATGTCATTGTAAGCCAAAAGACTGCATTATGAAGTCAAAATGGAAGGAAACAGCATTAGTGGATGGAAGTACAAGCCTAGACAGAGAAGTGCTGTGTTGTTGTACTTTTAAAAGCCTTGTGACATGATGTCTAGACAGAGACCCACACAGTAATGCTATCACTGAGGCCAGAGTACAGAAGGTACACAGGACTACTCATTAAATCATCACAGGGCTCCAGTCTGCAGCCAGTACCAATATGACTAATGTTTTCTCTTATTCCACTGAATTATTTAATTTAGTTCATTTTTGATGATTATAAGTGGAATGCATTCTCATTAAAGAAAACATAACAATGATTATAAAGGAAAACATTACCTCAAATCCACTATTAATATTTTTGTTGTATTTTCTCCCATTCTATTTTCATAACGTAGTTGAAATCATACTGAGTATAACATTTTACCTCTTGATTTTTCCACT